GGATACCAGAGGAAGAAGATATGTGTCTGTCCGACAGGACAGGGAGAGAGATATGAACTTAGGGTGGAGAAGCCTCGGACCTCACAGAGTTACACAGGCAGTTAACGTCTAAGGTGTTATACTTCAGAGGCCCACACTGATTTGCTTAGGAGATTTTAAGGAGTGAAAATAGGCAGTGGCTTTGAATCCTTATATGGCTGATATGTGTTATCTCCTCCTGAGTCACCTCCCTCATTCCCGCAGAGAATGGTCTGTGTCATGTTTTCACAAATTGAAATAATCATGACTCTCTACTGAACTCTCTGAAATGTAATTGACCCAAAGCTCACAAAATGAGCTGTATGAATGGTGTTGAGATTCAAATCACTTTTCTTTTTTGGTACCAGGGATTGAACCCAGGGACGCTTAAACACTGAGCCACATCCCCAGCCCCCAGACTCCCTTTTTTTTTTTTATTTTTTATTTATAGACAGGGTCTCACTAAGTTATGTAGGGCCTTGCTAAGTAGCTGAGACTGGCTTGAACTTGCGATCCTCCTGCCTCAGCCTCCTGAGCTCCTGGAATGACAGGCATACACCACCACACCTGACTGAACTCATTCTTTTGCTTGATATTACACGGGATGTCATCTGTCTCCTTACCCCAGGGCAGGGAACATACACTGCTTGGCTTACTTAATAGAGTGGCAACAAGTACAGCATCTTCTCCTGAGCAGGAATCCTGGGGTGAGGATGCTAGGAGAAGATCAAGTTTAAGGTGCAGTTTTATCATTCTATAATAATCCTTTAATGTGTATTCTCAGGCTGTTTGGTTGTGGTTTTCATTAAAGGCAGGAAAGCATCACTATAGAAAAAAAAAGAACATCTAGTAATCTAGGATTTTTTATTTTATTATTATCATTAATATATTTTGGACCCCAGGGATTGAACCCAGGAGTGATTAGCCACTGAGCCATATCCCCCTCCCTTTTTATAGTTTATTTAGAGACAGGGTCTCACTGAGTTGCTGAGAGCCTCACTAAGTTGCTGAGGCTGGCTTTGAACTCACATCCTCCTGCCTCAGCCTCCTGAGCCCCTGGGATCATAGCCAAGTGCCACCATGCCCAGTAGAATCTTTTAATTACTTGGGGGAGGGGGGACACAAAAAGTAATCCAGGATAGGCCCAGCAAAACCTGTCTGCCAGCCACATCTGGCCAGAAGACTGCCAGTTTTTGACCTGATCTGGGCCACTGGCTCTTGAGGAAGTAGTTCTGAGTGACGGGCTTGTTTCTGGCTCCCTATGTGGCCAGGAGTACAGCTGGGACTCACGGGGTCTTACACCATCTCCTGATGGTTCTGCTTTGAAGTCACTTCCCTCTTTCCTCCCTAGCAAGTGTCTACCTACATCCTTCAGCTACCTAGAATAAAACCATCCACAGCCCCACCACCCTCTGATTTCCCTTTAAAGAGCCAAAATCATCTCCCTAAAGTCCAGAAGTGCTGTCAACATTCTGTTTCCTGGACCAGGCTACCTGAGAAGAGAGTCCTCCCTAAACATGGTTATCCAGAGGCCAAGCAGCATCAGGATTGACAGTGAGATTCCAGGACAGAGCCCCAGAGAGGAAGACTGTGTACGTGGAAACATGAGCTCCCGCTGGGTCAACCCAGAAGCAGGGAATTTTTTTGTGTTTCAATGAACTGGAAAAGGCACATATGAACAAGTGTCAGGGCTGCCTGGAGAGTCTCCTGTTGGACGCTTGTGGGCAACATAGAGAAAACCCAGGGCGGAAGCTCGTGTCTCCTGAACAGCCACTGCCTTGGGATGGAGCAGCCCTAGCATTCAAGTTCGAGAAGTAAGAGGTCTCTAAACCCAGAACAAGCAGCTGAGCCTCAAATGCTCCATCAGGCAACGGGGAAAATAATTGACTGTGTTCTCCCTTCTACAAACATACAATCCTCACAGGCACTGTTTCATTGGCCCAGTGCAGGGAGAAAAACTCCCCATGTGATTTTTTTAATTGTGGGAAGATATGTACAACATAAAGTTGACTTCCTATTTTAGCCATTTCTCAGTGGGCTGTGCGCATGCCTACGTTCACACGTCAGGCAACCATCACCACCACCCAGTTCAAGGACCTTCTCAACATCACCAGCAGAAATTCCGCACCATTAAACAGGGACTCTGCCCCATGTGTCCACCACCCTTGGAAGCCAGCCACTCCAGGTTCCTTGTTCGAATTGCAACCAGATGGTACCTTTCCTCCTGTGCCTGGCTGATTTTGCTAAAATCAGTGCCTTCGAGGTCTAGCCATGCCTGGATAGTGGTACACACCTGTCATCCCAGCAGCTCCAGAGGCTGAGGCAGGAGGGTCATGAGTTCAAAGCCACCCTAAGAACTTAGCTTGACCTTGTCCCAAAAGAAAATGTAAACAGGGCTGGGGATGTGGCTCCATGGTTAAGTGCCCCTGGGTTCAATCACCAGTACCAAAAAAAAAAAAAAAAAATCCACCCATGCTGTCACACATGTAGAGTTTCTTTTTAAGGCTCAATAGTCTTCCTTTGTATGGATGTCCCACATGTTGTGTATATAGTCATCCATAGATTTGGGTTGCTACTGTGAATAACACTGTTATGAACACTGGTGTGTTTTCTTAAAAAAATGTTAAAGAGGTTTTTAAATACGATTTTTTTCTTTTATTGTTTTTTAATTCTTTGATCAATATGCTTACTGTCAACTCATTTCTCATCAATTAAGGAAAGATGCTCTGCACAAAGGGTGTGAGTTCTCATCTCAGGCCCCAGGAATAATCAGTGAGCTAACCAGTGGAAACCTCAGCTGGGGCTCTGTTTCCAGGTGGCAGCTGACATGACACACATATAAAGCATCTCACTTATTTCTAGGAACATGGTTGCCCCTTCCCAGGCCTGACATCTGAATGGGTCTTCAGTTGAAGGTTTTAGATTCTCCTGTCAAAACAATTCATCTGTCTGCAGGACAGATGCCATCCAAGGCATGCCTGTACCTTTCAGTAAGGAGCCCAGAGCTGAAGGGGAAAGAAACCTGGGGGGGGGGGGGTATTTAGTTCCTGCCAATTGCAGCTTTTGTTAAACATTTTGTCAGCCATTGTCATAACACAAATTTTCCCTGTTCTTTGCACAAAGGGCGCAGAGATCTTGGAACAATGGAGCCCAAGCCTAGCCGTAGATATTCTTTCAGCTAATCTGCTCAAAGAGGACCGTATGGCCCACCATTTGCAGAACACACAAGAGGCACCTCGGCAGAGAACAGCTCAGGTTTTACCCAGGCATATCAGAAAAGGCAAACTGTGTAACAGGGTAGGACAAGAGGGTGCTCAAAAAGCAGGCTTCCTGGAAAGACCCCGCAGAGCCACGGAATGTCAAGAGCTGAAGTCTTTCTATAGCTGAGAAATCCCATCTCTCTCTAAACCTAGCCAACTAGCCACGTGGCCATGTATAGTTAAACTATGTAAGAGTACACAAAATTATGAATTCAGAGCCAGGCATGGTGGTGCAGGCCTGTAATCCCAGCAACTCGGGAGGCTGAGGCAGGAGGATTGAAAGTTCAAAGCCAGCTTCAGCAACTTAGGGAGGCCCTAAGCCACTCAGTGAGACCCTGTCTCTAAATAAAATACAAAATAGGGCTGGGGATGCGGCTCCATGGTTAAGCACCCTGGATTCAATCCCTGGTAACAAATATGTATGAATTCCTTTTTTTTTTTCAGTTGCCAATGGATCTTTTATTTAATTTTCTTATTTATATATAGTGCTTAGGATCGAATTCACGGCCTCACACATTCCAGGCAAGTGCTCTGCCACTGAGCTATAATTCCAGTCCTCACTAGCCATATGTCAAGGTTTCAGGAGCTGTGTGTGACCTCATGCCATGATGCAGACGGGGCTGTCCATCATCACCATCCATCCAACTGAGCTGGATCTAAATCATAATCAAGCAGTATTTCTAAACCTGGGGATAACCAATAAATGTTTCAAGTAAAACAGCACCTACAGGAGAAACTTGAACTTTAAAAATAAATCTCAAGGGTAGGAGGGTGTAGTTCAGTGGTAGAGTGCTTGCCTGGCATGCGTGAAGCCCTGGGTTCCACTCCCCAGCAGCACAGAGAAAGATGATGAATGGGAGGGTTAGAGGAAGAAGAGGAGGGAGGAGGAGGAGAAAGGAGGGGCCTGGCCTGGGGTGTAGCTGAGTAGGAGAGCACTTGCCTGGCATGCAGAAGGCCCTAGGTTCAATCTGCATCGCTGCTAAAAACAATGATTATAATGATAAATATTCATTTCCTCATAACTCAAGATATTTGTTGAAAAGGGTGATGAAATATGGTGGGGTGGGGTGTATACTGATGCAAGCCCTTTAAAGCACACAAAAGACCATCCTGACAGGGGAAAGGGCCTTGGGAAGGCTTAAGTCTCTTGCAAGATGCTCCCACTCGGAACTGCCCTGAGCGTAATCTTATAGGCTTAATAGGTATTTACCTAATCTGACCAGCACCTTCCTGGATTACGGCCTGAACCACATATTATAAACTTGGCAAACGCTCTTCAGAGCTGCCGAACAATAATTCATTGACTTCTTGGAAGTGGAGAGACGAGAAGTTCCGTTGATTTTTGAGTAACCGGTGGCAGGGAAAACAAGCCCACTTGGTCCCAACAAACCCGTGCTGCCCATGGACTACTGCCTCTGTAGCAAAATGCTTGGTCCCATCTTGGACAAGAATGAGATGCTAGCTCCCCGTGGAAGGACTGGTTTCCAGTCTAGAACCAGGTATTCCTCTTCAGTCTCGTTTCCCAGCTAGCCTATGCCCATTTCTCAATCCTGGGTGGACTCCTGAACGTCATCTTCTTTTGCATAGTTGAAGCCTCCAGATGTTTGCTCAGCTGAACACCACAGCTGGAAAACGGGGACTAGACAACCCAGTGACCCAACTCCTGAGCACCAGTGGGCACCCAGAGATGGCCTGGGAAACATGCTTTCTGGGGCATCACAGGCTCCAGTCGCCAATCTCTTCCTCCACCTCAGAACCTGCCCTGTTCACTGCAGAAGGCACCTGCTTTTAAAGAACTGGGGAAGAGCGACTGGCCCCTTCAAGATTTCAAGGGGTGTGAGTGAGGAAGACCATATAACCTATTAGTTGTTTAATCCTTTAAGCTTGTGAGACTGTTTCTGCTGTTTTTACCTTCTGAGGAATTACACACAGTACACACTAAGTTCCAATGAAATTACCAACACGACCTTCCCTAGACCAATGCCGTAAGGTTTTATGAGAATGGGAAATTTAAAAAAAAATTCTAGACTAAACTGGGCACCATGGCACACACCTCTAATCTCAGCAGCTTAGGCAGGAGGATGGGGATGGGGCTCAGTGGGTAAGCACCCCTGGGTTCAG